CTGTTATAACTGTAAAAGGATGCTGTACTAAGTACTAAGATTGAATGTCACTTGGGGGTTGAATAAAACTGATAATGCTGTGAGCACAGAAAAGACATTTGTGGTTATTTCATTATAACTGTTATGTTATATTTGTCTGACCTACAAGTGCCTCTTTAATGTAAATGTAAGCAAGATGACTGAATGATCAAAAGCAATGTCAAACTGGCCAAAACACTCAATTTCAGTGGGGGTTGAATAATTTTGGACACAACTGTAGTACAGTCATATGATGAGACGTAGGCATGTGTGGCAATGTAGTGCACCAAGGATGGATATGCATATGCAATACTATATACAAGAACAAAGGAGATAAATCACTAGTAAAACATAAATGTTGATATAAAACGTTACAAAAAACTTCTTAATATGGCTCACAAAGTTTAAATAAAATAAAATTAAATAAGTATTGTTACAATATAGTATAATATCTGGTAAAATTGGTATAGTGTATGGTATACGTGTGTATGCATAGACATGGAAGCATAAGAAATATAAATATATAGGAAAAGAAAAAAAAAAAAAATTATAATTAAAAAAAATATATAAATAAATAAAATTAATAATTATATAAAAAATGTACAAAAGATGTATATATGTGTTATATATAAGAACTATATAAAAATGTCAAAGGCGCTATGGAACAAGCACTTGCAGGATGAGAAAGCAGTGCTCGAAGAGAGCTCACTGGACAACATGCGTGCGCACATGTGTGTGTAACACGTCCACATGAGCAACTGCTTTTTAGTAAAAAAACATGTCTATACATACATACATAAACCCACACACACATATGGAAACTGAATGAAAAAATGGGTGACCAATGAATGACCCATAGACACAGGCGCATGGGAATGCGGTCATACGCAAGCGCCTAAGGGTGACACAATAAATATGAAGTGAGCAACCTAATGTGTAAGGATGCAGGGTAATGGTAGCTATACTGATGATACTATAGTAATCATAGCTGATGAAAATGAATATATCTAAAGCATACATCTGTAGTGGATGGTGTACCCACTATAGGTCACAAGGGAAATGATGGAACTAGCACTAAAGAGGGGGGGGGGGGGGGGGAGAGAGGAAAAAAAAAAAAAAGGAGGGGGTTTGGGAGAGAGACAAAAAGGATGAGAGTAGGACTCTAGGGAACATGTGCAGCTTAGCAGAAGGTACCTATGCATAACGGGGAGTCAGTGGATGACCCCGTGTATCTCAAGATCTTCATTAAGCCCAGTGGGTGAGAGGGAACCCAGAGTGAAGATCCAATAGGTCTCCCTCTTACATAGTCTTTGGAATTTTCTTCCACCATCTGGATCTCCTGTGATGGATTCAATCCCGAATACTTTCATGCCTGATGGATCACCACTGTGTGCCTCCTGAAAGTGCCGTGGTACGGAATATTTGTTTTTGCCTTTATTGCTCTCCTTGTAATTAATGATGTTACATTTGTGTTCGCCAAACCTGACCCTCAAGGGGCGCATGGTTCGGCCAACATATAGGAGGCCACAGGGGCAGATGAGCCCATAGATCACAAAGGAAGTACCACAGTTGATGAACTGCTTAATCTTCTATGTACGGCCGTTGGTGGCAGCCACCTCTTTCTTTCTGTGGCACATGTATTTGCAGGTTCCACAATTGCTCACACCACATTTGAAACTGCCGCTTTGATCAAACAGGGCAGACCAAGGATTGACCGTATTCCTGGCACCAGCAGTTGGCTTCTTAATTCTACTGGGTGCTATGTGACTCCTGAGATCCCTTGGTTTCCTGAACACAATTTCGGGTCTGGGGGCAAGGCTCTGACCAAGAACTGGGTCCTGCTTAAGAATTTTCCAATGCTTTTGGATGCTTTGCTGTATGTCGAAGGCTTTAGTATTGAACCCGGTGCAAAACCTGACCTGGTTATTAAAGGGGTCTTTAGTGGCTTTTTTGGCAGCTGTCTGTGGTATATGCAGTGGACTCTCTTCATATTGGCCCCAATACTTCTGGTATGCTTCCTCGATGTGGACCTCACTGTAGCCTTTTTCAAGGAACTTGGTCCTCAAGATGGCGCTCTGTTCCTCATAATCACCTCTGGTGGTGCATGTTCTCCTTAACCTGCAGTACTGACCAAAAGGGACATTACGGATCCATTTGGGGTGGTGATGGCTACTAGCGTGCAAGTAGGAATTGCCTGCGCTAGGCTTAAAATGCGTTTTAGAGCAGATGTTGCCATCAGAGTCTGTCCGTAGTTCAAGATCTAGGAATACCAGACTGTTGGCATCCACCACATGTGTGAAGCCGATTCCAAAGGGGTTATTTTGGCAGTGTGCAAGAAACCCATCCAGATCCTCGTCTGACCCTTGCCAGATGATTTATTAAACATTTTTTTATGGTAATGCACTAGGCCTGTGCGCCCTCTTTTTGTTCTTTCCCCATTCAGCCATAACACCTGCAAAGGGTTCCTGAGCCTTTAAATGGTCTCTCAGTCTGGTTCAGTAGGAATCACAATCATGGGAAAGACTGCTGACCTGACACCATCACTGACACCCTCCATAAGGAGGGAAAGCCTCAAAAGGTAATTGCAAAAGAAGTTCGCTGTTCCCAAAGTGCTGTATCAAAGCACATTAATAGAAAGTTATGTGGAAGGGAAAAGTGTGGAAGAAAAAGGTGCACAAGCAGCAGGGATGACCGCAGCCTGGAGAGGATTGTCAGGAAAAGGCTATTCAAAAGTGTTGGGGACTTTCACAAGGAGTGGACTGAGGCTGGAGTCAGTGCATCAAGAGCCACCAGACACAGACGGATCCTGGACATGGGCTTCAAATGTCGTATTCCTCTTGTCAAGCCGCTCCTGAACAACAAACAACGTCAGAAGCGTCTTACCTGGGCTAAAGAAAAACAGACCTGGTCTGCTGCTCAGTGGTCCAAAGTCCTCTTTTCTGATGAGAGCAACTTTTGCATCTCATTTGGAAACCAAGGACCCCGAGTATGGAGGAAGAATGGAGAGGCCCAAGGACCCCGAGTATGGAGGAAGAATGGAGAGGCCCAAGGCCCCCGAGTATGGAGGAAAAATGGAGAGGCCCAAGGCCCCCGAGTATGGAGGAAGAATGGAGAGGCCCAAGGCCCCCGAGTATGGAGGAAGAATGGAGAGGCCCAAGGACCCCGAGTATGGAGGAAGAATGGAGAGGCACAAGGACCCCGAGTATGGAGGAAGAATGGAGAGGCACAAGGACCTAGAGTATGGAGGAAGAATGGAGGGGCCCAAGGACCCTGAGTATGGAGGAAGAATGGAGAGGCCCAGGGACCCCGAGTATGGAGGAAGAATGGAGAGGCCCAAGGACCCCGAGTATGGAGGAAGAATGGAGAGGCCCAAGGACCCCGAGTATGGAGGAAGAATGGAGAGGCACACACTGCAAGATGCTTGAAGTCCAGTGTGAAGTTTCTACAGTCTGTGTTGATTTGGGGAGCCATGTCATCTGCTGGTGTTGGTCCACTGTGCTTCATTAAGTCCAGGGTCAACGCAGCCGTCTACCAGGAGATTTCGGAGCACTTCATGCTTCCTTCCACAGGCGAGCTTTATGGGGATGCTGACTTCATTTTCCAGCAGGACTTGGCACCTCCCACACTGCCAAAAGCACCAACACCTGGTTCAATGACCGTGGGATTACTGTGCTTGATTGACCAGCAAACTCGTCTGACCTAAAGGGACGCTTTTTGGACGCCATGGACATTTCTCAGTTTCCAGGCAGAAAGAACAGTAAAAATGCAGGCAGGGCGCCGGACAAAGCACTCGGGACAAAATGTATGTGAAATGGTTGGAAACAGCAATGTTTTACTATGTAATAATCGTTTATTAGAAAATGATAGTTTCTAAAAATGTTTACATTTCCCGCCGGTTCCGGCCCACGTATGTCCTGACGCTCACAGGGACCGGAACACGGAAGCCGGATGCCGGCATCGGCTGGAGGAGATGGCCAGGGATGCGGCAGGGGGGACATCGTGGGAGCGCAGGACAAGGTGAGTGTTGCAGGGACTCCCTGAGCAACGCTGCAGTGTATTCCCGAGTGTAGCTCGGGGGGGTCACCGCTTGTAGTGCTGAAACTTCACCCTGAGCTATACTCGGGAATACCGCCAGGGGGGTTAAAAGACACCTATTTCTTCCAAAAACACCAGTGAAAGTGGGAAATGACACGTATCCACAGACAGCTGTATTACGTGGTCACCTCCATGCCTCAACCTGCTAGGGGTCAAAACGCTTTTGGATCACAACACAGGATCCTCCATGCAAGAGACTCCTCTGGAATTGCGTCCCTCTCTCCACAGTGGTCTCCCCCTCAAGGACAGGCTGCCATCACCTACACCCTCTTACACCCTATTACACCCTATTACACCCTATTACACCCTCTTACACCCTATTACACCCTATTACACCCTATTACACCCTCTTACACCCTATTACACCCTATTACACCCTATTAGGGTCATTTCCCAGCACTATTATGTAATAGTCGCACTTGGACTATTTTCTGCAGACTTTTACATCCTATTGAGATCATTTCACCTATTCAGTAGTGTGATGACTGCAGTTTATTCACTCGTCTTTTCTAACATTTTCTTTTTCACTTCTTCCTGATCCTTGTGAGATCACGGTTTATGTTTAGGATTTACAGCCCGCAGGCTGTACTATATAATATCAGTCACTAGTTATATCAGTCATATCAGTCACTAGTTATATCAGTCACTATTTATATCAGTCACTAGTTATATCAGTCACTATTTATATCAGTCACTAGTTATATCAGTCACTATTTATATCGGTCACTAGTTATATCAGTCACTAGTTATATCAGTCATTATTTATATCGGTCACTAGTTATATCAGTCACTAGTTATATCAGTCATTATTTATATCGGTCACTAGTTATATCGGTCACTAGTTATATCGGTCACTATTTATATCAGTCACTAGTTATATCAGTCACTAGCAGGGGCAGACTGACAACTCATGGGGCCCCCGGGCAATAGGGGATCATGGGACCCCTGTGTCCTTGCCCAAACTCAAAAAAGCCTATGAAAAAGGTACCAGGGGCATCTCATGGGGCCCCCTACTGACCCCGGGCCCTTGGGAAGTGCCCGAGTTTCCAAATGGTCAGTCCATCCCTGGTCACTAGTTATATCAGTCACTAGTTATATCAGTCATTATTTATATCGGTCACTATTTATATCGGTCACTGGTTATATCAGTCACTAGTTATATCGGTCACTATTTATATCGGTCACTAGTTATATCGGTCACTATTTATATCGGTCACTGGTTATATCGGTCACTAGTTATATCGGTCACTATTTATATCAGTCACTAGTTATATCAGTCACTAGTTATATCAGTCATTATTTATATCAGTCACTAGCAGGGGTGGACTGACAACTCATGGGGCCCCTGGGCAATAGGGGATCATGGGGCCCGTGTCCTTGCCCAAACTCAAAAAAGCCTATGAAAAAGGTACCAGGGGCATCTCATGGGGCCCCCTACTGACCCCGGGCCCTCGGGCAGTGTCCGAGTTTCCAAATGGTCACTCCACCCCTGGTCACTAGTTATATCAGTCACTAGTTATATCAGTCTCTAGTTATATCAGTCACTAGTTATATCAGTCATTATTTATATCAGTCACTAGTTATATCAGTCACTAGTTATATCAGTCTCTATTTATATCAGTCACGAGTTATATCAGTCACTAGTTATATCAGTCACTATTTATATCATTCACTAGTTATATCGGTCATTATTTATATCGGTCACTAGTTATATCAGTCTCTAGTTATATCAGTCATTAGTTATATCAGTCACTAGTTATATCAGTCACTAGTTATATCAGTCATTAGTTATATCAGTCTCTAGTTATATCAGTCACTAGTTATATCAGTCTCTAGTTATATCAGTCATTAGTTATATCAGTCACTAGTTATATCAGTCACTAGTTATATCAGTCATTAGTTATATCAGTCTCTAGTTATATCAGTCACGAGTTATATCAGTCACTAGTTATATCAGTCACTATTTATATCATTCACTAGTTATATCGGTCATTATTTATATCGGTCACTAGTTATATCAGTCTCTAGTTATATCAGTCACTAGTTATATCAGTCTCTAGTTATATCAGTCTCTAGTTATATCAGTCATTAGTTATATCAGTCTCTAGTTATATCAGTCATTAGTTATATCAGTCTCTATTTATATCAGTCTCTAGTTATATCAGTCACTATTTATATCAGTCACTTTGTTTTATGTCACTTATATATGTGATTTATTTATATATTATACGTTTCATGTGTATTTATATCTTAGGAGTCTTCTTAGATGTTAGCTCTACATCATTTTTTCCAATATTTGTCCAATAGATCAATAGGTGTATGATTGGATGTTTAGGAATGTCCTCCTGCGCTCCACAGAGTAACTATACAAAGCCAGCTGCTATCATCTACACCCGATACCTCGGGATGAACAAATATCTAATAGTGGATGAAGCGCTCAGCCATGAGGGTAATAAACTAATTAAACTAGAGATAAACAATATAATGCATAAATAATATAAAATAAATAAAGTGACTGGTGCTGTAAATAAATGTGCAAACAACACAAAATGATACTAAATAAATCTATATAAATACAGAATCTCCAATCCAGATATTTATATTGTGAGAGTGACGGGGGCTACACATGTGCAAGCAAAACAAACTGCCAGTCTGCCACCCAGTGGCTAAGACTGGTACTAGGTGTACACACACTAAGTGTATAAACAGTGACAAGGGCCCAAAAAAAACGAAATATATATACAGTGGGGATGGAAAGTTTGGGCACCCCAGCTAAACATTTGTATTACTGTGCATAAAGAAGCCAAGGAAAGATGGAAAAATCTCCAAAAGGCATCAAATTACAGATTAGACATTCTTATAATATGTCAACAAAAGTTAGATTTTATTTCCATCATTTACACTTTCAAAATAACAGAAAACAAAAAAATGGCGTCTGCAAAAGTTTGGGCACCCTGCAGAGTTAATATCTTGTACTGCCCCCTTTGGCAAGTATCACAGCTTGTAAACGCTTTTTGTAGCCAGCCAAGAGTCTTTCAATTCTTGTTTGAGGTATCTTTGCCCATTCTTCCTTACAAAAGTCTTCCAGTTCTTTGAGATTTCTGGGCTGTCTGTCAGCACGGCTCTTTTAAGGTCTATCCATAGATTTTCAATGATGTTGAGGTCAGGAGATTGTGAAGGCCATGGCAAAACCTTCAGTTTACGCCTCTTGATGTAATCCCCCGTGGATTTCGAGGTGTGTTTAGGATCATTATCCATTTGTAGAAGCCATCCTCTCTTTAAGTTCAGCTTTTTCACAGATGGCATCAAGTTACCATCCAAAATTTGCTGAAATTTTATTGAATCCATTGTTCCTTCTACTCGTGAGATGTTCCCTGAGCCACTGGCTGCAACACAACCCCAAAGCATGATTGATCCAACCCCATGCTTAACAGTTGGACAGAGGTTCTTGTCATTAAATTCTGTGCCCCTTCTTCTCCAAACGTACCTTTGCTCATTCCGGCCAAAAAGTTCAATTTTAACCTCATCTGTCCACAGAACTTGTTTCCAAAATGCATCAGGCTTGTCTATATGTTCATTTGCAAAGTTCAAACGATGATTTTTGTGGTGAGGACGTAGAAGAGGTTTTCTTCTGATGACTCTTCCATTAAGACCATATTTGTACAAGTATCTCTTTATAGTGGAATAGTGACCACAACTCCAGTGTCTGCCAGATCTTTCTGGAGGGATCGTGCAGTCAAACGTGGGTTTTGAATTGTTTTTCTCACAATCCTGCGAGCTGTTCTGTCTGATATTTTTCTTGGTCTTCCAGATCTTGCTTTAACTTCCACTGTTCCTGGTGACTGCCATTTCTTAATTACATTCCGAACAGAGGATATTGACATCTGAAAACGCTTTGCTATCTTCTTATAGCCTTCTCCAGCTTTGTGAGCGTCAACTATTTTCAGTTTCAGTTTTCTAGACAACTGCTTAGAAGAACCCATGGTGCTGATTGTTGGGGCAAGGTCAGATGAGTCTGGGCATTTAAAACCTTTGAGATTGACATCACCTGGTCTTCCCAGACGATGATTGAGAACAATCCATGACACTGGCAGGTCTCAGCTTGGCAAAGGGGGCAGTGCATGCTATAAATTCTGCAGGGTGCCCAAACTTTTGCAGACGCCATTTTTTTGTTTTCTGTTATTTTGAAAGTGTAAATGATGGAAATAAAATCTAACTTTTGTTAACATATTATAAGAATGTCTAATCTGTAATTTGATGCCTTTTGGAGATTTTTCCATCTTTCCTTGGCTTCTTTATGCACATTAATACAAATTTTTAACTGGGGTGCCCAAACTTTCGATCCCCACTGTATATATACAAATACACACATAATCATGTAGACATAAACAGCCGTAAATTGATGCAAAGTGAACAATCACTGCCTACAGTGACAAGTGTTGAATAAAACAAACAATATAAAAAAAGTCCAAATTAAAGTGCAACAATCGCGCTAACACTCTTTTGATGTGAAATAAATAAAATGCTAAATTCTTCTCCACTTCAAAATTCTGTGCTCAAAAAAAGTGTCCCTCTAGTGCATATATCCTCCGGTGGCTGGAGTGCCTCCTCACCTCCTTTATTCCACCCCTAAGAAGGGTCACAAATCATATAATAAGATGTTCCACCGCGATTGGAATCTTTAACTTCTGAAGACTGGTGACTTCACAACACCTCATCTATCCCTCCGATATCCACTCCAAATGTATCGGGATAGAGAGACTCAGCAATATAATATCAGGGCCATGGAAGAGAGACTCAGCAATATAATATCAGGGCCATGGAAGAGAGACTCAGCAATATAATATCAGGGCCATGGAAGAGAGACTCAGCAATATAATATCAGGGCCATGGAAGAGAGACTCAGCAATATAATATCAGGGCCATGGAAGAGAGACTCAGCAATATAATATCAAGGCCATGGAAGAGAGACTCAGCAATATAATATCAGGGCCATGGAAGGGTAAACAAAGAGAAATACTTCCATAGTGTAGTACGTCAATATATTTCATCAAAAATGCCAGATAAATCACTCACATGTAATATCAACAAAAGTGCAGCGCTAGATAATAAAGTCTGAAAGAAAGTCCACTAAAGTCTATTCATAAAAACGTGTCAGATGACAAGTAGAGAATCAATGGTGGCGGTCTGTGAAGAAAAGCAGAAATGCGCACTCACCAGAAGACAGATGTAAGTAAGCGGTATGCATCAAAGCCCATAGACCCTCAATCAAGGAGAGAACTGGTCCGGTCAAAGTGGGTTGATCTTCCCTTAAGGATGCAGAGCTAATCCAGAGCAGATCCAGGTAGCCAGAGGTCTCCTACAGCTGGATGGACGGAAGGGGTCTCCATCAATCCATTCCTTCTTCCATCCCTCCCTCCATCCATCCCTCCACCCATCTCTCCATCCATCCCTTTATCCATCCATCCCTCCCTCCATCCCTTTATCCATCCATCCATCCCTCCATTCATCTCTCCATCAATCCATTCCTTTATCCATCCCTCCACCCATTCCTCCATCCATCCCTTTATCCATCCCTCCATCCATCCCTCTATCCCTTTATCCATCCATCCATCCCTTTATCCATCCCTCCATCCATCCCTCTATCCCTTTATCCATCCATCCCTCCATCCAGGTGGCCAGAGGTCTCCTACAGCTGGATGGACGGAAGGGGTCTCCTGCTTAAAGGGGGGGGTCATAGCGTGCGCACATAACGCGTAAGGAGGAGCCTGGATGTCGAGACGCTACGCCGCCGGAGCTACGTGGAGACCTGGCGGCCATTATTTCATCTTCTAGGGTTAGTCCAACCTTTACACTTGGATGACACGTTTTTCAAAGTTGTTACTATTGTCCTTAATAAAATAATTGATTCTATGAATACTACACTATGGGAGTCCTTCCCTGACTCCCTGAGAGGAGTACCTTTTTGCAGAGTCCTTTAATGAGAATTCAGGCCTTTACCAAGAAGAGGAAGACCCCCCCTTTAAGCAGGAGACTCCTTCTGTCCATCCAGCTGTAGGAGACCTCTGGCTACCTGGATC